CTCCTCACCTGAATGTCAGTATTCGGGACCCGTGCATCCATCCTAGATTCCTGTGCCGCGGTCACGGCATATCCTATGGAACAAAAGAAATATAAGTATAAGAACAAAACTAATGATATATAGAGTAATAATCCAGTGTTGTACTGTATAGTGATGAGAGATGGCAACTCTCAGAACAAATAAGAACAAAGTTGATGGTCATGGAAATGGACTTTCTTAGAAGATCTGCAGACGTCTCAAGTAGAGAGAAAATATGTAATGAAAGAATTAAAGAGATAATTGGTTTAAAGCTGGATATTCTGCACAAAATTGAAAGAAAACAACTTACGGTTTGGACACATGCAGGGCGATGACTTCCAAAGAAGCTTTTGGATGGCAACCACAAGAAAGAAGGAAAAGAGGCCGGCGGCCACCTGGTTGGAGAGACAACGAAGAGAAAATGATGCCTGGATGGTAGATACCTCCTGGGACGTGGAACAATGGAGAAGAGTGGAAGAAGTTGGGCACTGTAAGACCTACCTAAGGGTCAACAAAACAGTTAAAAAGAAGAGAGTTTTTCCCAATCTTCAGGCTACATTACAAAGAAAACTATTTACATTATAAAAGGATATAAATAAGAAAATAAGAAATTACTGAATCAATATCAATCAAACGTTTCTCAGCAAATGACGAATAATAAACTTTTTGTAAAGATATTCTGAAAAATGTTTTCATAAACTCTGTTCATGTAATCCATGTGACCAACTATATGTATTATATGTGATAGTGTTTGATACAACAGTCAATATTCTGTTTTTCTTGTACTTCCAGAATTGTGTGTCCAGAGGAAAACGACCCTCAGTGGGGTGCAAGTATTTTGAATATTATGTCCAAAGTAAGGTTGGAAGCTATGATGTGGGGAGCAGGAACTGCTCTAGGTGAATTGCCTCCATATTTTATGGCACGGGCTGCTCGTCTCTCAGGCTATGACCCTGATGATGAAGATGATTTACGAGAGTTTGAAGAATTACAACGAAAGAAAAACAATCCCCAACAAATGGTATTTTACATTGTTGTGTTAATGTTAATTATCAAAAGCTCTTGGGAAGTTCATTTTGTATCAAATTGTGAAAAATACCAGTATTTTCTGATATGTAACGTAAACCTCATCATAATTCCAATTATTACTCTTAATTGAGACTAGAATAAAATGAAAGAGTAATTGGTATGTCATTATTTGTTCCAGACTTCCTTAGATGCTGCAAAGCTTTTTATTGAAAGGATGGTTGAGAAAGTGGGCTTTTTTGGCATCCTCGCTTGTGCCTCAGTAAGTGCTTTTATAAATAGTGGAGAATATATAACTGAATTTATGAGAAATATTTTTAAACTTTTTTTCATAGATTCCAAATCCATTGTTTGATTTGGCTGGAATCACTTGTGGCCATTTTCTGGTCCCCTTCTGGACCTTTTTTGGTGCAACACTAATTGGAAAGGCTGTGATAAAAATGCACATACAAAAAATGTTTGTTATAATTGCATTTAATGAGACGTTGGTTGAAAATGCTGTTGCCTTCATGGCATTAATTCCATACGTAGGCTCCAGGCTACAACAGCCATTCAAAGAATTTTTGGAGAAACAAAAATTAAAACTTCATCGAAGATCTGATGTTGAACTACCTGCTGTAAGTAATTATTTTTGAGTTATTGTGTATTTCCATTCCCATGTTGTTTTCATATCTGTTATACAGATGATAATGCTCAAAATATGAAGTGAAATAATTCAGAGCCTACTTACCTTTTTTCAGGAAAGCAACCTTTTAGCAGCAATTTTTGAGAAGTTTGTTGTTGCAATGATTTTATACTTTGTTGTGTCAATAGTGAACTCCCTGGCTCAGAGTCACCATAAACGTCTTCACAAAAAAGTTAAAGGAGCTTCTAAAAGAGCCACTGATTGACGGAGAGCTGTAGGATTAGTGATCTGGTAAAACTAGCCTGAAAAATTTACATAATGCAATACGATGCATTGAGTTCAAGATATTTTATTATAATTATTTTTTTCTTTGGTGTGTTTGTGTGCACTTATGTATGAAGTTATATCAAGTAATGTCTGATAAGAGAACGTAGAAGTATGAGTTTCTTTAAAGAAAGTGTAATTATTGTGGTTGTTGAACACAGTGAGAATATCTGCTCAAAGGACAGCATTGTGTGTTGCTTACAGTTCCTACCAATATTCTTTCCTCCTTTTTTTTTTTTTTTTTCTGACTAGTTGGAAAAAGCAGGTTATATAAGTTTAAGTGAAATCACCACCGTCATTAAATTTAATTAATGTTATTTAAACCTAAATTGTTATTATTAAGGTTCAAAAGTTAATGTTGTATCAAAAGGAGAAATATGCTTGCAAATTTGCTCTAACGATTAAGTTTTATGTATTCATGAACAATTATAAAGCGTTTCATTTCTACAATTAGTTTTGCATTTTTGTCTCCACTTAGTATTTCAGCGATAATTTTTAAAATAAAATATAATGATTTTGTGCTTATCATCGTTGATTTCAATGCCACAAATTCTTTATCAAAGATATTTTATCACATTATTCATAATTGAACAAATTGTTTACAATTACCAGCACCATGATATGATATAAAAAAAGTTCTGAAAAACTGCTGCTACGAACAAGAGAAATTCTCACCATATCTCACGAATAGCATTGCATTCACATTTGTTAAGTACACTTTTCGGTTTGAGAAGACAAATATGCACATTGATTGGATTTCCAAGTGAAATATTCCACATTAAGTCAAAAAAGCAATAAAATATGAATAATTACTTAAATATAATTGAAATATGTTAACACAAAATGCACAAAATATGCACCAATCTATACTAATATCTAAAGACAGAAGTGTATTGACTTACATTGCAATAACCTCTACATCTACCGCACCAATACGGATGAAACTTTTGTGTTAGCTTCCTTTAATGATCTGGGTACTATAGGCTATGATTTACAACCATAAACCTTAATTCATTTACAAATTAATTACTTTTCTACACATTTTTCACCTAGCTTTACATCACAGAGTCAAGAGTGCATTCAAGATTTTACTTAATATAAAAAGTTTTATGAAGTTAGTATCCACTGTGAACTCAGATTTTTGGAAATATTTTAATTGTCTAAATGTTTCATGGCACCTTTCCATCAGCCACTATTTATCAAGGACCCTAAAACGCTTACTCCGATTCAATTAAAATTACTTTTATTATATTTAAATGTAAAGATCAGTTTCAAACTTTTCTTTATAAATACTGTGAAGAAAAAATATGAAAAAGAGTGTTTTACAATGTGGCAATTGATTGAAAGAATTGGATTAATATATAAAATTCCACAAAAATAATTTAAGTTAGTTAATATATTTTGGTTTTTGTTTAGTTTAGTTTAGTTTATTATTATTTTCAGTTATAAAAGGAATAAAATTTGAAGACAGGAACCCCAATAACAAAAAAATATAAATGTTTGTTATCAATGTACAGAAGATCAGGTACCTCCAGATGGAAGCAAGGCAGATAAAGGTGGGGTAGGGCAGAGGGAAGATACAGTAGAATAGATGGATGACAGCTCCGCCCAAGGACAAGAATAGATGGAATTCTTCTTCCTGACTTATAAATTATGATATATACCCGAGCAAACTAGTATGCTATATAAAGTCACAGAATTTCTGTTTGTTTTGTGGACATTTGATAATTAGCTTATAATAAAGCTCGTAATTAAAAATGAGTTTTCATAAACTTCCTAGCCTTGGTTATTATGGTGCTAGTAGAAAACATCCTTCGCAAAAGCATGAACAATTACAAAGCGTTTTATTTCTACTATTAATTTTGCAGATCTGTTCTCTGAAGATTAAAGAAACCCTTAAATTTATTCCCTAGTAAATGGAAAGAAAAATAAGTTCTTTTCTTTTCATTTCGTTTCTTTTTCTCATATTAATATGAAGCGTTTGCCAATGAAAATATCTTAACATTCCAAACATAATCTTTAATTTTTCAATAGTTATTATTGAGATATTCCCATTTATTTTTTATATAGTAATAATTGTAGAAATCTGCCTCCTGTTCAATTCTTTGACAAATGATGCAATTTCTTATTAGTAATTTCATTATATTGATTTGTTTGACACTAGGAACTTAATTGCGTTGTCAGTATTTTTTACTACATTTCAATGCTTCAAATCATGAATTCATACTAACTCATGAAAGGAACTAGCCTCTAAGTTGGTATTAATTCAAAAAATAGATTTTGGTAATGAAGTTAAACTTTCTATGTGTTGTTATGATTAGTAAATGTAATTATGTTGTCTATTTTGTCTTAAGGTAGTGTTCATCTGTGATAGATTGTGTTTAACATTGTTATTTATTGGAAAACGTGGACTAATGCTCATTCTGGTGAAGAAATAATCCTTTAAAAAATGTTGGGAAGTGTGCATTAACATTACTATGTAATGTGAACCAGAAATAATTTTTAAATTTTATATAGCATGACTTTCATGATAAGAACTGTTTATGCATATTTTGGCTTCAGTGATACTTCTTTTAACATTAAGATGCACAACTTTATTTTTTACTTGTTATTTATAAGCAATTCATTCATTGTTAAAAATGCAAATTATGACTTGATTGTTTCTTTTCAACATCCTTCATATTTTAGTTGTCTTCGAACATTGAAGTGTAAAAAAGGCGTTACATAAAAAATTCAGATGGTTTGAATTCAATTCGGTTAAAGAACAATTGAAAACTGTACACCCATCAGCACATGCTATTGTAACGGATAATGAAATGATGGTGATGATTTCCTGAAGAGTGCTGAAAAATATAGATCAAATAATGATCCCTCTGAAAATAAACATGAGTACTAGCTTTTGTATCATAATATTTTTAAAATCTGATAAAATTCAAAGTTCTCTTAACATATTAAGAGTACTCTTAAAATATTTTTTTAAATATGCAGACTTAAACGTGATATTTGTGCTAATTCCAATATTTGGCTACTAGAATAAATTTTAAATTTTTATTTTTTTGTTATTTCAGAATAAAATGTTTGTATCAGGAAGTAAATTATAAGTTCCAATTACAGTTAGTCATTACTTGTAGCTCTTCTTTCTGGATTTTTATCAAGGTTCATTTTGAATAATTAAACCTCTTTTGTTAAGGATAGGTGGTTCTTCTACTCCCTAAGTTTGTTATATCATCTAATTGAGGCCTTCTAGTGTAGTATCTTGAAAGAAACTTATACTTGTTCTCTTATTTATAAAGACTTACTATTAAGAAACGTGTATGCTATTCCATTTCTTCCTTGCAGAGAATGTTCTCAATAATGTACAGTGTGCCAGGAACGTCTCTTGGCAGTGGAGCCTTGCCGGTGAGGTGCTTCCAATAAAAATGAGGTTTGGTAGCAGGAGCTCCAGCTTGTAACCTCTATCAGATACTGGAAGTGTTCTTCTCATTTATTTCTCATTGATCTTATTACCAGTATAAATGCAATTTTTAATAGGAGGCCTTGATTCGGCTCGGTGCAGAGAGACTTTCCTGGTGCACTATCATGTAAGGAGTATTAGAAAGTCCTTACTCTTGTTCTTCCTAAATAAGAAAGTAGGAAGTATTGTTTTGGCCAGCAAAACTTGAAGAGTCTTTTTTTTCTATCATTTTTAGGCGAGTTTTAGGCAGTTCTTTCTCTCTGAAAAATGGCAATGCTTTTGTACTTCTGAATTGTATTTATTTTACAGTACCAACTTTTACATTTTTATTCTCATTTTGGCCAATCTCTGTGAATGCATTTTATTATAAATCGATTTGAAAAGTGTGACCTGCAAGAGAATGAAATTGCCATTTTCCTTTTGTTACATATTTAAAAGAACCCACCCATTCCTATGTTCAGAATTCCATTTGTATTATTTTTATATTTATTGTAGTACTTTAGCTAAATGCTCATCTGATCAAGTATTCATGAAAATCAGAGAAGACATTGGTATGTTTGTTCCTGGAGTGTTATGGATTCCCTTTCTTTTTTCTAATAAGATAATGTAAACCAAATTTCTGTAGAGTGGTCCAAAAGAATTTGTTAACTTTTATTTTTGATTTATGAAACTATCTATATATGCTACAGGATTGTTATAAAAGACAAATGTGATAAGTTTCTTTACATAATTTAAAACACTGTGAAATGTTAAGTATTTTACACTTGTAAATATCCATGTTAATAAGAATATAAGTATTTAAAGGAGGGAAAGTAATTAACATTGCACCAGAGATCTAAAGAAGTCATTGTGATGTATCAACTGCTGAATGAAAATTATTGATATTACTTAGTTTTTCCTTCCTACAAATTTTTTTTAGAGCGGTATTTAATCTCGAACAACACTGATTCTTTTGGACTAAGCTGTGATGTAATCTATACTAGATTGAAGATACGCTATTTGGAATACCAAAGTAGCCTATGCATGAAATGTTTCTCACAAATCGGTGTGTGTAAATTCACAGCATATCATGTATCAGGAATAAGCAAAGAGCAGTTAAATGAAGTGTCAATAATTATTAGCTCATCATTTTGCAAATTAGAAGAAATCAGATTTTATATATTAATGTTAAGTTATGTGCTCATTTTCTTGGGGGTTTCTATGTATGGGTTTTCTCCTTTATGCCAAAGTGTATATCCTTTCCGAGTTTTGTGAGTAGTCACCTAGGATGCACTTAGAATACTTAAAAACAAGTGTGCCTTTTTTGATGTTGGTAAATTTTTGGTGCAAGTTGTTTTAATTGTGTGACCATTCTGTGAAGTATACATAATTGTTTGTACCACTTATTCCCAAGACAGTCTCATTCCATTGTTTGTTTTTATTTTTATTTTAACTTGCCGTTGATTTTTTTCTGTGTGGTTGTTAACCCTTGAACTGCCATAAGGCATCAATATATTATCATCCTGAATGGATAGGAAGGAATGTTGAGGTTTTGTTGGGTTTTTATTGAAAGTTATGGATGTTATTTTATTGTCAGTATGGTTGTGCTGAATTGAAATTAGGGACTGACATGACATCAAATTATTTGCATCAATACACTTCACTAGTTGTACAAATTCAACCGTAGCTATTATCATCAAATCATGTTGGGGTTTCCTGATCTTCAGAGTACATGATTCTTAATACTGAGCCATTCTTTTGGCAGAAGTGTACTCTCATTATTTGAAACTCTTGAGGTTTATTTTTATTGTATGAATCATTGTGTTTGGAATAAAAATTCTAGCCCAATAATCATAAAAGGTTAAGTTGTGAATAACTACCATTCAGATTGTAACCTTTCATTTTCATATTGTCCAATCAGTGTGTGGCTTATGCTATACAAAGGAGCCACTTATTAATATCAAATAAGATTGTACTCTGCAGGTTGGGAATGGTTTCTTCATTATGCAGCGACCCTGTAGATAACTTAGTGCAAAAGGCAGCTGCTTTTTGAACTAATGTCAGGACTTGATAGTGAAGTTTACTCATTCCTGTAATATTTGAAATAACTGTGTGCAGAACGACCTAATGTTTTGTTGCAGGCAGTTGAAGGGTTGATCACAACAGGCCATTCAATTTACATAGCTTCATTTCTAAGGAAATTGCATACAAAATGTGCCAATTAGTATTATTAGATATTTTAAAATTATATAACCTAATTCTATCCATTTTTGAAATACGTCAGATTTACGACCATTGTGTAAAATCATGTACTAAAAAAGTAGAAAATCCTGTATCTAAATATTTTGTATCAAATTTTCATAAATGTTATAAAATTTTATATACATAGGCACTGAATAAAGTTATGAAATTTGAAGTGTGACATTTGCAATGAACATTTTGTTGTTGTTTTTTTTTTAAGTAATTTGTATTGCTGTAATGCCTGTGGATGTAACAGGTGTAATATTAAAATGTTAACAATAAGCTACCTCATTACAAATTCTTAGAAATATTAGGTTTTATGTTCTTTATGCTGAAATGATTTTAGACACTAGATTGTGGTTAACTGCTAGTGCTGCACTTTCACATGGTACAGGAATGGGTATAAAAATTTCCCATTAGATTCGTGTATTAGTCACTAATAACTAGACACAAACCTAATTTCTGTTATAAATTAGGTTTTGAAAGTACAGTTTTGCCATATAGAATTGATTCAGCTTTATACCAAGAAATTCTTTAGAAGTGTTTTATGGAATGTGAAGATGAAAGGGACTGGAACAATGATGTACAATGGGATACATACATTTATGTTCCTGTGGCCTGTGCTTTTCAGCCTTCATATTGTGATGCATGTGCATAGAAAGAAGAAAAATCAATTTGTTTCAAACAGCTCAACAGTATAGCTTTAGGAAAGTTTGGTGCAAGATGAAAGTAGAGCTAAGAGCTTTGATTAGAATATTGACTTGAGACATTTTGCATTACCTAAATCAAAGTATTACAAAGCTAGTCTATTGCCTTAATTTAATAAAATTAAACACATTGTTCATAAGTCAAATATGATCTGTTTATTTACAATGACATCTGCATGATGGAAACAAACCCATGCACGATTGCACAGCGTATTCAATAAACGCAACAGGACATAAAAGTTGCATCCATTTTACACCTACCTAAATTAAAAATATTTTTATTAGGCAATTCATTTGTCTTTAAAATTTTTCTCCACTAATTATTTGAATATAAATAAGGAATTAGGAAAATTTGACTGATACAATCTCAAGAGCGATTCAATGTTTGTTTCCACCATCTGTAAACAGGGCAGAATATGAATGTATGTTTCCAACATGTGAACTACATAATAAAATAAAATTTCACATTTCAAAATGTAATTTTTTTGTACCCATATGAAATGTAGCTATGCTACAAATGATTAAATAAAAGTATCAAAACATGGTGAACATGTGTACTGAACAGGTTCCAAACAGTTTACAAATAAATTACTCAATAAATTTATTATTTTCATTAACATTTCATCTAAACATTAAACAAGTAGTTAATTCAGTAAAAACTGAAATTTTCTGGGGACAATGCTATACAATTTATTTACTTAACTACGCATCCAACATTTCATCGATACAAATGATCAGCTTGAATATTTGCAGCTATTTCTGATTCCCATTTGTCACCATTATTAAGAAGTTTTTCTTTATTATATAACAATTCTTCGTGCGTTTCAGTTGAAAACTCAAAATTAGGACCCTGAAGGCAGATAAAAGAAATATTCAGTTTAAACTCATAAATGAGAAGGCTCTGAAATTAACACAATTTTGGTTTGATTTTACATTGCAAATTACCAAATTAAAATTATAAAAGGGCAATACAACTTGCACTCTAGATAACATTTTTTAGGGGCAATACTTACTTCTACGATGGCATCAACAGGGCACGCTTCTTGACAAAACCCACAATAAATACATTTGGTCATGTCAATATCATAGCGGGTTGTGCGTCGACTTCCATCAGCCCTCTCTTCTGCTTCGATAGTAATAGCCTAAAAAGGATATGAAAACAATGTGAATTTTGAATCTATATTCGCTTTACATAAATAGAATTTTGAATAGTTGTGTACCTGTGCAGGACATATTGCCTCACAAAGTTTGCATGCAATGCATCGTTCTTCTCCAGAGGGGTATCTTCGGAGTGCATGCTCACCACGAAATCGAGGACTTAACGGACCTTTCTCAAATGGATAATTGATAGTTGCTGGCTCTTTAAAAATGTGTGCAAGAGTAACACCTGCTCCTCGAAGGAGTTCGGTCCAAAACATAGTTTGCGCTGCTCTATTGGTTATTTCATTGAATTCCATACTTGGGTCCTCTGGATTAACCTCCTTATAAGTATTGCGTTTTTGTGTCACAGTCGACAGCCGTAAAGCTGGCCGTAGAAGTTGAGAGGCTGTAAATATTCCAATAAAATAATTACTTGAATCAAAAATGACATTCATTCGCTCGCCTTTGTAAGAAATAACATTAGTAAGTTCTCACCAGACTTGCTAACGGAGTAAAGTTTTAAGACTGCCATGATAGTCCACCTTTAACCTTGCACAGTTTGTGGTTTATACAATAAATATTGCTACACAGCCTTTGTTAGTTAGTATCTTTGTTTTAGCAGAATTTCACAAAATGGAATCTGTTATATTTTCACGAAATACTCTACATCAGCTTAGTTGGCCACATAGAACGTAAATCACATTCGGTGGGTCTGGTCAGAATCAGGGCCGGTTCACTCAATGTTAAAAGGCGGGGGACTAAGTTTGTTTCCTCACTCACCCGGACCTGATATAATATATTAGATGTTATTAATTAGCTGTAAGTACATTTTTGCGTGTATATATGTATGTGTGTTATGGTGTGTAGTGTGTGTGTGTGTATATGCGTATACGCACATGTACGTGTGTATATGCATATGCGTATGTATATGTGTATATGAGTATATATGAATATGTGTGTATAAGTATGTATGTATGTGTGTGTGTGTGTGTGGGCGTGTGAGTATATACGTATTTGTGCGTGGTGCGTGCGTGTTTGGGTGTGTGCAGGAGTCTGAGTTTCACATGTGTACGCGTGAAATGGAGGCTTTTTTGCTATGCTGGGGTATAACAGTGTTCTAGGTATAATTATATTTAATTTATACATTTGTATAATTGAAATTAATTGGCTACACACTGCAAAGACGCCAATTGTGGCCAAATAAATATATTTATTATATATTATAAGCCGATGGGCGATTTGGTGTAGAGGCGGGCGGGGCCGGGGTGGGACTTTGCTGGATTCTGGCGTCACAGGGGTACGCAAAGCCTGGTCTGGTCCCTTAGAGCAAACACGGCGCTCACATGATGTAACAGCAGGGTGCAGCACGGGGTAAAGAAAAACGAGACGCGGATGTGCCCGGCTTGCTGGGGCCGCGAGGCGGAGATGATAATCAATCGCCGGAATGAAATGATGGATAGGGCCGCCGGCCGTCCATGAACGCCGCCGCCTTTTCGCGCCCTGCGGCCGGGAGCCTCCCGCACCCACGGCGGCAACGATGACAAAAAACACCTGGATTTCGCAACCTCTCCATGCCTCTGACCAATTCATGACTGCTTAGCTGTCGTATTGTCAGGGCAAAGATTGATGGCCAGAAAATCACGCAGAAACCACTTACAAATAAAATCCAAAAAATCCGCACGAAATGCACTGAACGGCCACACCACGTGTGAGACCCCCACAACACGACCACTTCAAACCTTCAAAACTCAAGGCACGCTCGCTGCACGAATACATCGCGCGCCTGACTCCGGAACAAAGGAATTCCACCTCACCGAGTAGTATGTCTCCATCCCTGACCTAAGCCAGCCAGCGGCGACGGAAGGGTGGAGGGTGGGGGGGAGTGGAGGAGAGAGCAGGCGGATGGGTGGGCGAGGGCGCGAGGGGCTCAGGGCTGAGGAGCAGGCGCCAACGCCGTGTGGCGGCGCGCGGCCCACACTCGCATCGACCAGTCGACCGGCACAGCGGCGCGCGCGCCGGCGCCGTGTCGCACTCGGCGGCGCCGCCGGGCCGCCGCTCCACCGCCGCCGCCGCACGGTGGTCCGGGGTGGCGGGAGCAGCGGCGAAACCTTCACCCTAAACCACTCAACATGTGAATCACCCTCCAGAGCGGAGAAGAATAGAGCGAGAGAGAATAATAGTTTGAATAAGCGCTTTCGATTGCGAAACACGCTCAATACCTTTAAGTTAAAATATTGTAGGGATAAGAAATACACGAAAATTATGCATTGCCAAATCGAACCTCGACTCCAACAAAACCAAGCGTCCGAGCCCTTTTAGACACACAAACATTATTATACAAATACATACATTAAACCTATAACCACGAGTCATTCACATGTTGGCTCTTTCTCTGGAGGTTGGATCGATCTCTACCTTTGTTTGATGAAAAAATAACGAACGGAAATGCTAACAAAGGCAGCTTCGTAGATCAGAGGTTCTTGGTTCCACATTTAGACGGAAACAATTTTCCACTCCAGTCCAGTTAGCTTTGTAGGAGCGACCACCCGGGCTTAATGAGGTGTCTTACAGTCGTCAACTCTAATTCTGTTCGTTTTGCATTTCCTTCATAGTTGCAAAAGGAATGCGCAGGCAATATTAGGCAGACACCCCACAGGCCCGCAATCCCTTCTCCCTCTTTAAGGGGTAACTTTTTCTATTCTTCCTCTTCTT